CCTGTAGCATTCTGCCTATTAGCTTAGCACAACAACAACAAAAAGGCGCTCTCTCACCCAGGAAACGCGCAGAGAGAGAGCATCACCCTGTAACCATGGCAACCGTAACGCTGCCACCTGGAACAACAGAACACAGCTGTCAAACAAACCCAAACAGTCCTGACCCGCGACAATATGAAACGGGAAAGTACCGCCGTGTAATCCATTTATTTCAACAAAGTAACTGTATTCTAAATACCACATTTTAAAACGGTAACTGTAACGGATTAGTTACTCATATTTTGTATTTTAAATACGTAACGGCGGTACATATATTCTGTTACTCCCCAACACTAAGTATAGTGGTGTGACAGTGGGTCTCTTCAATGGATTCCAGATGATGTGTGGACCTCTCATACAAGAATAAGTCTTTACTGTGTTTATATCATCTGTGGTAACACTCAAAAGGTGACTTTGTTTAATTCTGCAGGGAGAATATGTGGTAAATAAAACTTACTGTGATTCCAGCTTTGCCTTCAGAGCTTTATGTATCGCATCAGAGCTACTCTCATGCTCAGCAACCAGGCCCAGTCATCTGAAACTTGCACTCACTTCACATTGCCTATATTCTTGTGTATTTTTCCATCTGTCACTCAGACATTCATCACATTTTCTCTGATCACATGTAAACTATTCCAAACTATTCCATAAAAACTATCCTCTCTAACACACATAGGTGCTTTTAAAACTTTAGATCAACCTTTGCCTTTGACTTCCACCTCATCTGTCCACAGATCACCGATCAGTACTTCCCTGCAGTCAACCTGATGATCGCCATCGGCACGATCATCATGGTTCTCGGCTTCCTGGGCTGCTGTGGAGCCTACAGAGAGAGCCGCTGCATGTTGCTGCTGGTGAGCATCACATTTTGATTATTTTGGAAATGTTTTTGGAGGGAGGCGAAGCAAAACACATTACTTAGTTAATGAAATCTACACTGAGGGATTGTACCGACACACATACCTGATGTTCAGTAACTGAAACTTTTGCCAACTGCTGGTGGGTTTCTATCCAGATGTTGAGGTTATTTCAGCTAAATTGTAAGATTAAAAAACTGAAATATGTTGGTTTGTTACTATGACACAAATGTTTTTGTCGATTAAAAAGATGTGTGAACTTTAGGTGGACAGAAAACACATTTTGCTTAACTTTTCACCTCAGCAAGTCTTACAAAAATTGTTGATCTATATCATGTGTGTTCCCTCAGTTCTTCATCTTCCTTCTCATCATCTTCATCCTCCTGGTGGCAGCAGGCATCGCAGGAGCTGTGAGCCAGAATAAGGTAAAATAGCGACTATGTGACTACTTAATTTTATTTTTGATGAGGCTCAAACGTCATGTTGCTTTTCTGTTTGCAGATGGAAGACTGGGTGAACAAGCAGTTGGAAGCTATGTTGCCACTTGCAAACCAACCTGACACGGTGAAAAGTGACCTGAAGAATCTGCAGAAAGATGTAACTAACACACACACACACACACAGTTTTTCTTCAATAATACAGAAAGACGTTCCTAGAAGCAGTCAATCAGATACACGAGTTAACCTAAATCTTGAAACACACTTGTGGTATTCGAATGTGCTGGTAGTGTACAGGGTATCTCATTGTATTTACATTTCCTGAACCACAACATGTAACCCAAAAATGAATAACCAGTTGCCTGCTGCTCACACATGACCAGGGGGCATAAACTAAAATTCTGGGACATCGAATTTAAGATAAACTGCGCCTGAATACAGATCTACACGTTATGAGATTGAGTGTGCTTACTGCACACATCCACCAGAGGGCGACTGTGCGTTCAACTGCCTGCAAGTCTGTCAGTGGTATGATGCAATGTAAATACATGGCGACAAATGTCAGTTTCCCAACCCTGAGGCATCTCTATGAGGTCTTGAACATCCCACGGAGCACTGTTGAAGCGATCATTCAGAAATGGAAGGAGCATGGTACAACTGTAAACCTACCAAGACAAGGCCGTCCACCTAAACTCACAGGCCGAACAAGGAGAGCGCTGATCAGAAATGCAGCCAAGAGGCTCATGGTGACTCTGGACGACCTGCAGAGATCTACAGCTCAGGTGGGGGAATCTGTCCATAGGACAACTATTAGTCGTGCACTGCACAAAGTTGGCCTTCATGGAAGAGTGGCAAGAAGAAAGCTATTGTTAACAGAAAACCATAAGAAGTCCCGTTTGCAGTTTGCCACAAGCCATGTGGGGGGACACAGCAAACATGTGGAAGAAGGTGCTCTGGTCAGATGAGACCAAAATGGAACTTTTTGGCCAAAATGCAAAACGCTACGTGTGGTGGAAAACTAACACTGCACATCACTCTGAACACACCATCCCCACTGTCAAATATGGTGGTGGCAGCATCATGCTCTGGGAGTGCTTCTCTTCAGCAGGGACAGGGAAGCTGGTCAGAGTTGATGGGAAGATGGATGGAGCCAAATACAGGGCAATCTTGGAAGAAAACTTCTTGGAGTGTGCAAAAGACTTGAGACTGGGGCAGAGGTTCACCTTCCAGCAGGACGACGACCCTAAACATAAAGCCAGGGCAACAATGGAATGGTTTAAAACAAAACACATCCACAAAGTCCAGATCTAAATCCAATCGAGAATCTGTGGCAAGATCTGAAAACTGCTGTTCACAAACGCTGTCCATCTAATCCATAGGTGTCAAACTCTGGCCCGCAGCCTAATTACATTTGGCCCGCGAAGCCATACCAAATTACTATCAGAGCTGGCCTACTGGTATTATACAGCTAATATATATATTGTTTAGTATTAAGCTTTGCTTGTTCCATATTCAGTTTTTCAGCAAAACCTGTTTGAGTCCATAAGAAAAGATTCATTCTTAAATCTGGAGGAATAAATATATTTCAATAAATATTAACGTTAGCCCGCGACCTTGTTCCAGTTTTGAATTTTGGCCCACTGTGTATTTGAGTTTGACACCCCTGATCTAATCTGACTGAGCTGGGGCTGTTTTGCAAAGAAGAATGGGCAAGGATTTCAGTCTCTAGATGTGCAAAGCTGGTAGAGACATACCCTAAAAGACCGGCAGCTGTAATTGCAGCAAAAGGTGGTTCTACAAAGTATTGACTCAGGGGGTTGAAGAATTATGCACACCCCACTTTTCAGTTATTTATTTGTAAAAAATGTTTGGAATCATGTATGATTTTTGTTCCACTTCTAACGTGTACACCACTTTGTATTGGTCTTTCACGTGGAATTCCAATAAAATTGATTCATGTTTGTGGCTGTAATGTGACAAAATGTGGAAAAGTTCCAAATACTTTTGGAAAGCCACTGTATTGTGACAGGCTGAACAGCAATAAGGGGTTTACTAGAACTATTACACTAGTTCCAATCCTATTTGTATTTTCTTCCCAGCTCAAGTGTTGTGGTGTTGTGAAAGGAAAGACAGACTGGTCCCCAGATCCATTCCCAGAATCCTGTCGCTGCAACGTCACCCAGAGTCCCACCCCTGTCCCCGGTGCTGAGTGTGGCTCAGAAGGTTACTACAGCACGGTAAGGCTGTGACTGCTGAACACTGGATTGAGCATCCCAGCAGGAATCTGATTTCACTTTATATCTGAACAAGAAATCCACACTCTTACTTTACTCTCATCGCTGAGACACAGTTAAATGAACTATAATAACCCACGCTGCTCTGCTCTCACCCTGCAGCCCTGCTCCACCCGAATCGTCAACCTGATGAAGGACAATATGGTGATAGTGCTGGGAATTGCCTTCGGCATCGCCGTCCTGTTGGTGAGCTGACACATACAGTCACCACATCACTTCAGGGGATATTTGAGTTCACTAGATAAAAAGTCATACTCTAATTTTTAAGTTTTATTTTTCTCTTGATAGAAAAATTGTAGAACATGCAAAAAGCAGATTAATTAATTAATTGGCATTAAGTCAATTTTATTTATATAGCGCCAAATCACAAAAACAGTTGCCTGGGGGTGCCTGATTCCTCTTGTAGAACCAGGTTTAGGGAGCGGCAGCTGTCTGCTGCGACCAGCTGGGGGTGAGGGGATGGGGCAAAAGACCCGCCATGTGGAAGAGACCCAAAGATTAACAATTACCATTTTTATATTTTCTTTTGTCTTATTTTATTAAAGTTTTAATAATGAGTCATTTGTTGTTCCTGCAGATTTTCGGCTTGGCTTTCTCCATGGCTCTCTACTGTCAGATCAGCAAGAAGGATGGACCTACCACCAACGCCTGAGGCACCACCATCTCTGCCCAAATGTAACCGCAATATATCCTCTGTACTAATCTAACTCATCCTGTGCTTTCACTGTGAAGAAGCACACTGAGATTAAAGCCTCTTATACACTAGTATGGAGTCCCAATTGTTACCAAAAAATACATTCTATATAATCTGTATTTTGTGTAAAAAGCATTATGTTACTTGAAATGATAAAATAGTTTGTGTCTGAGAAGCGGGCAGCTTTAAAAATTACCCAGTAAATGCAAAGTAAATAACTGTAATGTAATTAAATTGTGTTGATTTAGAATTTCCCAAACCTTTAACTGTTATGAGTATATTGGTTATGATTTGATTGTGTATTTGACAATGTATGGAAGCCAATTTAAGCCAAAAATATTCAGTCAATAGCCAAGTTGGTGCACAAAATAATTAGTTTCTCATGTTCTCTTAAAAGTGACTTTAACTTGCTTGTCACGTTTCTTTCATTCTTTTTTTTTTTTTTTTAAACTTTTGAAAATGTCAATCTGGTTTATATGGTTTATTTATTTTTTTTTGAAAGGTAAGTGTGTAGTCTGGATTTTTCATTTTAGTTTTTGTTTGTTAGTTAGTTTTATATAATCATATTTCTGGTTGTAACTGGCTTCCATATTATTTATATTCTTGGTTTTTTTTTTTTTGTGTGTATTTTTTTTTATTTTTTTTGAAAATTATTGCAAAGACAATCCTCAGGAAGTTGAAATTGTTCTAACATACCTCTCAGTAAATCTCGCACTCAATCATGGTTATTATTAATATAAAAGTTGTTTCTTCTTTCTCCTGTTAAAAAACTTTCACTGGGTAATAAGGCATGGTGGGATTTAGGTTTGGTTTTTTTTGTTTTGTTTTTTTGCGCGGGGGGTGTCTTGTTTGTTTTTTATATCAAATGTCAAGCTTCTCAAGTGTTCCAACATTTACTTGTTTTGCTTCATTTATTTTGTAGTCCATTTTAGGAAAGACGTTTAAAAAAACAAAACAAAATAAATTCAGCCAACTAAATAAAACTTTCACATATCCCATTAATTATTAAGAAACACTGAATCCTGAGAATTTACCAGTTTGTTTTGTTTTCCCATGGAAGCATGGACGTCAAAAAAAAAGTGATTGAAACTTTTTTTTTTTTTTTAACCAAAGATTAATGTCCTCAGGCCTGAGGATGCTCAGTGTTTGCCTGGATGAATCTGCTTTGTTCCTGATGCTGTTTAAAGTGGTTTTAATCACTATATCACCTGTCAAACACAATTTAAAATAAATAAATAACAATTTAAACAAATCAAGAAGGGAAATTCAGATTGAAGATAAATGTTCTTCTCATGGGCCATATACATTCTAACCAAAGGTAAGTTTGGTTTTTTTGTTTTATTTTTTCTTTTTGTCATGAGTTTGAGTTTTATGGTAGTACCAGCTGATTTGCTTTAAATGTATTCGAGCAATGCAGAACATTTTACTGTGACAGGAAGTGGCCTGTTTCCGCACACTGCTCACATTTCCTTCCTTCACTTCCTTCTCATAATTGCAAGGAACAGAAACCTTCCCAATGTGTTTTTACTTTTACTCACTCTAATCAACTATCAGATGGGGAGATCAAAGTGAGTTAATGATGGACCTGATCTGAGAAAGAAAATTCTAATATATTAAACCATTTCTATTAATATCATTATGGAGTTGTCACATTTTTGTGTTTAAATGGATAAAAAATGTAACAATAGAAATAACATTTAGAATTCCAAGTGGATGTCACACAGATTCTGGTTACTCCCAATAATTCTGAAATCGGATAAAGCAAAATCTACCTTTGTACATGGACAGAAACAGGACTTTTAAACCCAAAAGAAATTAAGTTGTGGAATGCATTTCCAAAGCTTGATGCCTTAACTATTTACCCAATCGTTAGTCTGTTTGCCTATCGGTACTGCTTATTGGTTCTTGTACTTGCGCTGCTATCAGCTGATTTCAGTTATCGAGGGAGGAAAATAGCAGGATAGTTTATAGCATGGATGTGGACATTACTTTTATTTTTATTGCACAAAAGGACAAGAGCATAATGTTGAACTGCAAACTGCATCCAATGACAGAAACAACTGCATTATTCTGCTAACTAACACTTTCAACTATTTTTCTCCCTGGAGTAATTAAGTAGCATAGTGCATTACTTTTAATAAATGTGTTCTGTGTAATATCTGTAATACATTACTTTTTTGAGTAATGACCCAACACTGAGGAAATGCATCCAAAATGCACAAACATTTGACCAACATGCAGCTAATTTGCACAAATGTAATGTTTGATATGCTGCTTAGTAATGGTGGTAACGCTCAAAGCGGAGCTGGCAAGAACCCAATGAGAATCAATAAGAGAACTGATAAGGAATCGAATCCTTAAGTGATATCGGTAAAAAGGTATCAGAGTCGTTAAATTCATCTAAATTCCCATCCCTAGTAAAGTAATAACAATAATACATAGAAAATCCTGACAAATATATGATGCCCTGTGAGCAAGTGCTTTTTGAGAATTAAAGTACTATCAAGAAGAAACCTCCAGCAGAACTAGGCACCCTAAATAACTTAACTCGTACCTTGGGAAGGATGGGGTTTGTGGGTGCCTTTTTAGGTGATGAAGTTTAAAGTTAAATATTGGATTAACTTCATACAGCATTTGGTTACTGTTTAAATTACGGAACTTTTCAGACAGATCTTCAGTGGGATTATGTTAACATAACTTAAAGATAACGAGTTAAAATTTTGTTTTCATGGTACTTCAGCTCATTACTGTTTTCTGGAGACCTGTGAAGGTTTTACTTTAACTTAACTGAAGAGAGCAGAGGTGATGCTCGAGTCTGTTGGAAGCTCTGGACACATCACATATAGCAGAGCTGGACACACTGGCTTCCATGCTAGCTAATTTAACTAATGTTAACCTTCAAAATATATGATGCTAGAGGACCGTTTAACGCTCATGCACCTCCTGAAGCTCCATTGTTCCACTGAAGGAAAAAGCACCCCAGATTAGTGATGTGCGAATCATGAAAAGTTAAGTGATTCTCAATACTCGAGAATCACTTTACTGACTCGTGAATCATGATTCACACCCCAACTGACTCACTGACTCATCCCTGTTGCTGACTAATTTCATTAGTAGAAATATATCTAGCATACCATTAAAAATGTGGGGAAAAAACAACAGCCAGTTTCTTAACAAAAACAGCTAAATCGTAGCATAAACGAATCACTCAGGACTCACTCAACCCCTCCGTCCTGGCTCACAGCTCTTTCTTCTTCTTGGTTGGCAACCAATGTTAAGGCGCATTACTGCCCCCTGGCTCACAGCTCAGTGGACATTTAAATATATATATCTATATCTATCTATCTATCTATATATATATATGTATATTAGGGGTGCAACGATA